AGAGGGAGCGTCCGGGGGTAACAATGACTCTGGGGTCCCCCAGGGGGAGGGGTCTGGCCAGCGGCCCACACTTACCACTTTCTTTGGTAGACGGAAGTCTCGCCAGGGCTCCATGGCGCTGGAGGAGCTAAAGCCTGGGCCAGCCCCCAGCCTAAAGGGGGAGGAAGAGCCACTGGTGGGCAGCAAGGATGAGGCTGCGGAGACCTCTACTTCTGATGGGCCAGAAGAGAGAGATGTGGAGGCCCCTTAACGTTTGAGAATAATAAGACTGGAGCTCAGAATCGTTCCCGCTTTCATCACCTTCCCTCCTGTCATCACATCCAGCCTCATCATCACCCAGCATTTTCACCCAGCACCCTTTGGATTTTCACCCAGCATCTTCACCCTGAATCCTCATTCAGCTCTTCTAGCCAGCAGCCCACGCAGCACCCACACCCAGCGCGCAGGTCAGGGCTGACACCCACTGAACCCTTGCAGATTGAATGAACGAACTCTCCTCATCAACCCCTACTTCTCCCCATCACATTTTCTCCACATGTCTGTCCTCGAAACCAGCTGTTGAGTCTCCATAAAGGCCAAACTTACGATTTCTCAGAGGATTCCCCAGGAATACCAGAGTCTGGGAAGAAGAGGAAATGGCAACCCAGCAAACCCCCACCTTAGGATTACTCTGGAAAGTACATTTGGCCCCATGGATTAGGACAGTCCCACCGGCTGAGCCCATGAACTGCCTTTAACTCCAGGCCCCAGTGCTCTGTGCTAGGCCAGCCTGGAGCATGGGCTGGGTGGTGTCACCCAGCAGTGGTCTCAGGTGCGTCTGAGACGGCCCCTGGACCCTAGGCTGGCTCACGGTCCCAGCCACCACATTCTCCCCCAACTCTGGATCGAGGCAGCCAGAGGCTTCAGCTGTTTCTCCTCCCAAGAGCAGAGGTGAGAAGAGCTTCTGTGCAGATGTAGTTCTTAGAAGCCTCGGCACCTGCGTGGGTCCACTCATGCATGTAGTTTGTGTGCAAGAGGCGAGGACTTGGTGACGCTTGTGAAGGGCAGTGGCGAGTACAGCTGGGTGAGGGAGGGGGCAGGAAGGGCTGCAGAGGCTGAGGAGATGCCGCCCTCAGGAGGTGCTGAGAACATAGGCACCCTCGTCTTTGCTCCGATGGGGTGGAGGTGGAAGATTTAATTCCGTCTGTGGCAGGGCCTGACAGAAAGACTGCATGTGTGACCAAGTGTGGTTCTTCAGCTCAGCTGCTATGTCCCTTCCTCAAAGCCCCCCACCACTCCCCCCACCCCCCATCCCCCCGCTCCCCAGTGCACACACGAGAGTCCCAGGTCATGCTGATGCTGTTACAAGTTTAATGTGTTTGTCTGTATCCCCTCTTCCATTCTACAAGGAGGGTCAGTGAGAGAGTGAGCTGTGACAGGCCTCCAGAACCAGGGGCATCCCTGTGGCTCTGGGATGGAGAGGAGGGGACAAGACCCAACTGTGCTGTCTCTGAGACCAGCCCAGGCCAGAACCCAGGGCACCGCATGGACCAGGGGCCGTTGGTATTTCCCCAGGGCAAAGAGGAAATTTGCAAAGAGGAAGTTGTTGAGTCAGAGGAGCAGTGGATGAGAGCAGACACATTGACCTACAAAAGGAGAGGCCACGGGACTCCATGAGAGCGTGACTGCCAGGTGGTTTGGATTGGAGGGGACACCAGAGGCTGGGGAAGGGCCCCCAGGTGGGTCAGTTCATGGGGGTGTGGAAGAGGGATGAGGAGAGAAGCGGCGGAAAGTGGCCACAGATCCGCCCGGAGTTCTGCCACCCATGCCTGGGCTAGCTGGGGTGGAAATCCAGCCTTCACCACGCAAACCTGGGCGCCTTTTCTATTTCTTTCTTGGACGTGCCACACAGGCACAAGGGGTCTTAGTTCCCCGACCAGGGATCGAACCTGCACACCCCCCCTCACCCCAGCCAAAATAAATAAATAATAAAATATTGAAAATACTAATTTTGTCCTGACAGTAAAATAACATTTTTCTTCTTTTGCGAAACTACCAGCACATTCTAGTTTCTTAAATAACAGGATTCTCAGGCTTCCCTGGTGGCGCAGTGGTTGAAAGTCCGCCTGCCGATGCAGGGGACGCGGGTTCGTGCCCCGGTCCGGGAAGATCCCACGTGCCGTGGAGCGGCTGGGCCCGTGAGCCATGGCCACTGAGCCTGCGTGTCCGGAGCCTGTGTTCCGCAATGGGAGAGGCCACAGCAGTGAGAGGCCCGCGTACCGCAAACAAAACAAAACAAAACAAAAAAACCCCAGGATTTTCTCTCACACACAACCATATACAGTGTATTATTCTTCATCTTATATTTTAAAATGCATGTTTCTATTTTATTTTCAAAAGTACACATTAAGATCACGGTTACAAATACAGCTTTGTCATCCATTGCAAACTCCAGATGGAAGAAGGATTTGGATGGGGACGGTCTTGAGAAGTCTATTAATGTAATTCACTTTTGCAGACAGGAAAAGGGCCTCCGAGCACGGTCCTATGGACATTTCATTTCTGAAAATGGACATATACGCCTCATTTTCCTCTGCATCCGTATTTCTGCTCCTGTTCTGGGGAGGTTGGGGGTCGAGCCATTAGCCATCAGAAAACCCAGGGTATTTTGGAGACCATCTACGTGTCCCCAGCAAGGAGCTGCCAATGGGTGCCTGTGTGCCTTAGCCCCTTGGGGTACTTAGCATCTGCCTGCCCAGCTAGTGACTTCAGGACAGCCTAGCTGGACCACGCCCCAGATCCCCAAAGCTGCCGGCCATGGAAAGGGCCACATGCTCACTCCTGCGTTTGCGCACGCTCTTCCAGAAGCCTGCGCACCCCCGTCCTGTCCCACCACACACACATCTTGACTTCCCGCTAAACTCCTCTCAACCATCAAGATGTAGTTCAAATGTCACTGCCTTTGCGAAGCCGCCCTTGCTGCCTCCATCCCAAACAGATAGCGTATTTCTCCTCCACTCTTACAGCACCTTGCGTGACAGTACAAACAACTGGACTGTAATCGTGTGAAGGTGTCCCCCATTCATTAGGTTGTAGCCCCTTCAAGTCCACCTGTCATCTTTGTGGCTCCAGAGGCCAGAGCCTGGCATGTCTACCTAATATGTGTTTACTGAATGGAGAGGTGAACGGATTAATGAATGAGCAAACAGTGGTTTTCAAGTAAACCATGGCAAGGTCATATCTGTCCTTTGAATGAAACTGGCATCCAGGAGCATGGCCTGAGGCAGTGGGACCTGAGACGGGAGCATTAGTCTAGTTCAAGTTAGATAGAGTGGGAGTCTGGCCTAAGGTGAAAGAAGAGGTCAGGTTTGAAATATATTTATTCAGAGAATAATTGACTGTTGAGGTGATGGGGGAAGAATGAGGTTAGACTCTTAAAGTTTCTGTCTTGGAAAATGGAGGAGGTGCTGACATCACTATGTGGAAATGCAAAGAGGTGAGCAGTTTGGGGGGAAAACATGAGTATTTATTTATTTATTTATTTATTTATATCTTGGCCACGCCACGCACTTTGCAGCATCTTAATTCCCCGACCAGGGATTGAATCTGGGCCACAGCAGTGAAAACACTGAATCCTAGCCACTCGACAACCAGGGAACTCCCCATGAGGGGTGTTAGAAGTAGAGGCCTGGAAGTTGCAAGGGAAGTCAGAGCTGGAGATATAGATTAAGGAGTTATCTGATGTTAGATAGCAATTTAAATAACGGCATTGGTGGATAAATGCATAAACTGTATAGAATGAGAAAAGGAGAGAGCTGTGGAGAGAAGCTTCATGTGTTAGTCAGGGCAGGCTAAGTGCTGTAACAAACAACCCCCAATTCTCAGGGGTAGAACTCAAGAGAAGCTTTTTCCTTGTTTATGTAATAATTTAATGTCGGCATTTGGAGGGTAACCTTCCATGAGGTCATTCAGGGACCCAGACTCCTTCCATCTTGTGGCTCTGTCATTCCCAGGGAGGATCATGGGAAGACTAGAGCGACACGCATCACTTTTGCTCACATTCCATTGGACAGAATTCAGTCATATGGTGGCCTCCATGCAAAGGAGGCTGGGAAATGTAGTTTAGCTTGTGCCCAAGAGGAAAAGAGGAACAGTCCCGCCACACTGAGGGGACACCACAGTTTGAGGGCTGCCTGTAGGAAGAAGGACCTGCAGGAAACAGAAAAGAGCCTTTAAGAGAGAAACCAGGAGAAAATGACGTCTGGGGGGGAAAAAGGGAGAAATAGTTTGGAGAAGGGCTGTCAGGAGCTGACCTGGACTAGAGGCAAGCAAGGCAGTAAGGTGTAAAATGGAGCTTGAGAGCGAGGCCTTCTTCAGTTTTGTGCCCCAGGACCCTTGCTTGCCTCGTCCAAGTCCAAGTCCTGGCAGGGTCACATGCTGCAGAGGCAGAAATGGGAGAAGGCTGGGAAGAGGCCAGTGTCTGGCCATCAGTAGTCCCAGAGACTTTAGCAAGTGGTTCTGATGAAGAACTGGAGTCCCCAGCACTTCTGGGACAGGAACTTGCCTGAAGTCACAGTACAATAATTGGCAGTTTCCTGGTTTTCTTGTTCAGAAGCCCGGCTCTGATCTGCTCAGGGCCCTTAAAGTACCTTGGGAAGAAGGAAGAAAAGGAAAGTGGCTTTTTGTTGAGTTTCTACTCTGTGTCACCCGCAGAGTTTTTTCGCTTGATTCTCAGTTGAAGCCGTGAGGTTGGTATTATCCCATTTTACAGCTAAGGAAATGGAGGTGCAGAAAAAGGTAAAGAAGTATTTGAGATCAAAAAGAAGGGAAGTAGGATTTCCCCAGTGCACCATCAAAAACTCTCTCCAGCCATGACAGGGAGCACACCCTGGGGCAGGGTTAAGGAGGCTGGGTGAGTGGAGAGAACAGGGCCGAGGCTCAGAGAGGAGAGGACTTCTGAGTTATATAACTGAGTGTCCTGGAGGCCAGAGGGAGCCCCAGAGAACCAGGGCAGGGCCGGTCAGGGATGGTCAGACCGGCCCCTCCCTCTCCCCCTCCCGCCCCACCCCCTCCCCCAGTCTCCGGCCTCTCCAAACACTAGACGGAGCTGTGGGCACACCAGTCGGCCAGCTCCAGGCTGTCATGGACCCTGAAGGTAAAGAAGCCTCCCAGATCTCTCTCCCCTGTATCCCTACATCACCACCTGCCCCTCTCCTGCCCATCACCCATCCCATCTTATCTCCGTCCCCATCCCCCACCTTCCCCAAGTCTTCGCTGGTTTCTAACTACTCTCTTACCCCTCCCCCATCTCCCTCCAACCTCTCTGAACCCAAGCACTCCTTTCTGCCCTGCAAAGACCTCTTCTCACTCTTCTTTATCCTTCTACGATAGGTTCCCAAGTGAGCTCTGGGGAAGAAAGGGGCTTGAGCCCCAGGAAATTCAGGGGTGGCCTGGAGTAGGCCACGTCTCCTGGGGACTGAAGGGGCCGGGCAGTGGGAGGCTGGACCTGGAGCAGCTCTGGACTTTGCCCCTCACTAGCAGCTCTGGAGGAGTGAGGCAAAGTCCTGTCCCATCCGCCTCGGGGTGGGGGAAGGGAGCCCGAGTCCTGTGATCCCTGTGATTCCTGTGCATGTGGGGAGTGACATTGTGAAGGAGGCTGGATGCAGGATGATACACGCCAGGCTCTGGAGTCAAAAGGCTCCTGTTTGAATCCCAGCTCCACCAGGAACAGACAGTGTGTTCTTGAGCAAGTCACTTGATGTCTCAGAGCCTCACTTCCTTGTATTGCAATATCTGCAAAATGATAATAATAGTTCCCTGCTCACCAGGTTGGGGATGCGGGCGGGCGGGAAACGACATGAGCATGGAGGGCTCCCTGAAGTTTCACATTCCCCTCCCTGGGCTTCTCCTTCCCCAGCTCTGACCTTCCTCCCCTGGTCTAGGGCTTCTGCTGGCCCCATACCCAGCCCCTCTGGCTTGGCCGTGGAACCAGCTTTTGGGGGTCCAGACTACTTCTTGGTTTAGAAATGATCTCAGAGTCGGAGCCTGGGTTCAAGTCCCATCCCTGCCACCTGCTAGTTGTGTGACCTCAGACAAGAGGCTTAGCCTCGCTGTGCCTCGGTTTCCTCATTGATGAAGTGAAAGCAGTGTCTTCCCTTGGGTTGTGGTGAGGATGAAATGAGACCATACACGTCGAGCACCTGGCACAGAAATCACTCAGCAGTTATGCTGGAGTCACATCCATCACTCCAGTCTGCCTCTGCAGTCCTGAGCCTGCCCCAGGTTCCAGTTCCATTTTGGGGACATGTCCCTGGCGTGTCAAAATCAAAGTCCTCCCCTACACCAGTTCCGTTTCTATTCGTGCCTCACCAGCCTCCTACTGGGACTGGAAACCTCAGGGTCACTCTCCCTTGAACCTCAATATCCAGACAGTTGCTGCATCCTGTGGATTTACCCCCACGTCTTTCTGTTCCCACCTCCCTCTGACGGAGCCTTCCTCTGCCTGGCAGCCTTCACGCACATGATGACACTGATGTTTAACTCTGGGCCAGGCCAGAAGTGTCGGCTGTGGGATCACTGACCTGCGGGAATTAAACCAGGAGGGAGGAGTCGAGTCAGGGAGTGAGGCAAAGGCTGGGGACATGGGGCAAATGAGGGGCGAGGACAGAGTTGGGGCAGAAGCAGATGGCAGGCCGGGGGTGAGGTGTGAGGGGGCGGGGCCAGGTCTGGAGGCATGGTGTGCAGGGAGCGGTCCCCTAACAGATGCCCTGCCCTTACATTTTACCGGGACTCACTGCTTCCTGGTCCAGGCTGTTGCAACAGCTTTGCAACTTACATCTTTCAAAAATGCTAGGCACAACTTAAACATTTAAACTCACAAGTGCATTTTTGATCAAGTGACTGCTGATCAAAAATCTTACGGATTTTCCACTGCTCATTGAATGAGAACCTAACTGTTTCCTATCATTCAGGGCCTGCTCAGTCTGGCCCCGTCCTACCACTCAGCCCTCTCTCTCGCTACCTTCCACGTGCAACTTCACCGACATATACCCCAGGCCTCGCACTGCTGGGCCTTTTCTCTCTCCCATTCTCTCTGCTTGGGGGGGCCTTCCTCTCACCTGTCCAATGCCAGCCTATTCTCAGAGCCAACCTTCCTGGGTCTTCTCTTACTGCTCTTGTATCTTAACGACAGGTCATCTCTCCTTGCTCTGAAACCCTATAGGTCATTTTACCACTTGTGTGACGGGCAATCGCATCTGGCTCTATTTGGAGGTCATTTCTCCTCTCTAGGGAGAGAAGGGGAAAAGGAAAGAACATTTATCTGGAAGCTGGGGTGCTAACCAGCCTCTGTCTCCCTCTGGTGTTTGCCAAATGGATCAACAAATAAATAGATGGGAGAACAAAATTGCCGGGAGTCAGACACCTGGGTTCAAAGGCATCTGGCTGGGCATTGGCTCAGGCACTTGACATGAATCGCCCATTCCCTCCTCGTTGTAGCCCTGTGACTTCCTCATGAAACTGACTCTCAGAGAGGTTAGGAAATTGCCTAGGGTCACCCAGCATGTAGGTGATGGAGCTGGGATTCAAACCAGGCGTTTCTGAACCCCCAACCCAAGCTCCTCCTACTACACCAGGGACAGAGCCCTGGATTCTTGGGTGTGGCTTGTAGAGCTCTGTGAATAGTGATATAATAAATATATAATAATTTTAAGTATAATTTTGTGCTCAGTGTGGTGAGGTTGGGTACATGAGGGGACTCTGGGGCCAGCCCGCCTAGACTTATGATCCTGCCTCCACACTTCCCAGCTGTGTGAACTTTGGGCAAATTACTTGCTTCTTCAGTGCCTCAGTTTCCTTCTCTGTAAAATGGAGATAATAATGGTACCTACCTTATGAGGGTTGTTGTGAGGATTAAATGTGTTAATATATAGAATATGCTGGGAACAGTGCTTGGGAAGGACCATAAAAGTGTTAGCTGTTATTATTATTACACATGATGTCACTCCAGATTCTATTATAGACAAGTGGTAGCAGCACAAGAGGTTTTTTTTTTTTTGTTTGTTTGTTTGTTTGTTTTTTTTGCGGTACGCGGGCCTCTCACTGTTGTGGCCTCTGCCGTTGCAGAGCACAGGCTCCGGATGCGCAGGCTCAGCGGCCATGGCTCACGGGCCTAGCCGCTCCGCGGCATGTGGGATCCTCCCGGACCGGGGCACGAACCCGTGTCCCCTGCATCGGCAGGCGGACTCTCAACCACTGCGCCACCAGGGAAGCCCAGGACCAGAGTTTTAAGAAAAACTTATAAAGGCAAAACCTTTAAAACTGACGTCTATCTATTTAATTTTTTTTCCTGTAAATTGGGGGAAACAATCATTACTTGGTTTTAGCTGGAACACTTTGTCAGCCTCGTATAACATCACTGTTGCTGCAAGCACAGGCCACATGGTTACACGTGGTTACACATCAAATTAAGAACAAAAACTTGTGATAATTTGTTTTAGGTCCATTTGCAGACCCTGACTTTGTGCCCGTCCATCAAAGGCATGAATGAGTGTTTATTAAATGACTGAAGGAAAGATGCAGGGATGGAAGTTCTGATTCTGGCCCAGTCTCTCCCGGTACAGAGCCACTGGCCAGTTAGGGCAATATAGAAACACAGTAAAAGTCAGTCAACAATCCAGACAAGAACGGCACAAGTGCTAGTGGGGGAAAAAATCTTCAAATATTCTGCCAGAGTCAGTTTATCTATATCTATATCATTTTACATTATTTGTAAAGAGACAAATGCAGGAAATTTCCCCAGATGCTTTGGATCCCCTCAAGAACAGAGGCACCAATTTTAATAAAATTCTGGAATAACCCATTAAGAAAAGATTGCCTTGAGAGATCAAGGTTATACCCCACAGGGTAACACTGTAATCTCTGAAGTCCAGGCATCTTGAGAGAATATTTACATGTAACAACGGCAAGAATAAAAAGGGGACAGGGCGTTACAGCTGTTTCCTCTGTGCAGTCACTTCTCCTCAGGCAGCTGCAAAAACAGCCCCACTCCTCTCTGCAGTTCCTTTCGCGACAGTGGCTAATTAGGAGAGCCCTTATTTTCAAAGCTACCCACAGGAATCCCTTTTGTTGGAAATGCACGAGAGAGTTGGGGCCTAAAGAAAACCAGATGTATTTATTTTTCACGAACATTCTGCATTTACAGTAGGCGATCAGAACAGCTGATCTTGCCTAAGTGGGCAAGAGAGTAACCCGTGGGTGAAGGCTGTGTGGTTCTAAAACCACCTTCTGTGTGTGGACAGGGAAGACCAGGGTCCACGTCAATCATTTTCTTTTCTCTTTTTCTTTAATGTTTTGAATGGTTTGTTTGTTTGTTTGTTTGCCTCGCTGCATGGCCTGTGGGATCTCAGTTCCCCAACCAGGGATCGAACCCGTGCCTCCTGCAGGCAAAGCACGGAGTCCTGACCACTGAACGGCCAGGGAATTCCCATTTTCTAGCTCTGCTCTTTAGGTAATTTCCCTTTGCATTTCTGAGCCTAGGTTCTCTGCCTACAAATGGCCTTTACCATGAAGAAGGACAGGTAGGATTTGTGACATTGTATATATAGCAAGTGCCCGGCATCTGGTAGGCACCAGTGTATGGTAGCAATTGTTCTCTTCCTGCGGTTCAGAAGCTCTCAACTCTGCGACAAATTAGAATTAAATTACCACGTTCCAGACCAGTTATATCAGAATCTCTGTGGGTGGGACCCAGACATTGCATTTGGCAAGGCTCTCCAGATAATTCCATTGTGTAGTCAAGGTGGAGAATCACTGCTCTATTCAGCCTAAAAAAACCTTCCTTGGGACTTCCCTGGTGGTCCAGTGGTTAAGACTCCATGTTTCCAATGCAGGGGGTGTGGGTTCGATCCCTTTTCAAGGAACTAAGATCCCGCATGGCATGTGGTGTGGCTGAAAAAAACAAAACAAAAAACTTTCCTTCACCCTATCTTAAGTGAGGGCCCTCTCTCTCCTTTTCTTATTTACCTATTTATTTTACTTTTTTATTATAGAGAATTTCAAACATACACAAAAATAGACAGAAAAGTATGATGAATCCTCACGTACCCATCATCCAGCTTCAACAACCACCAAGTTTTGGCCAAGTCAGTCCCATCC